CTTAACTCATAGGTTTTTTGCTCCATAAACTCCCTTGTATACTCCATCTCTATAATGTCTCTTGGGTGGTTCCCTTCTCTTGGTGTTGCTCATCTTCTCGTTGTTGGCATGATCTATGCTCATCGTACATTTCAAGATGTTGAATCTGAATATGTCAAGGAGTTACACCCAAGAAATAAAGTATAAGTTAGGAGAGATAGAGAGACGGAAAAAGAGAGTGTGTGTAAAATAATGAACAATAGAATATATTTTTTATTAGCTTTTACTGAATAAATGATTCCTTTATTTATAAAAAAAGGGGTACAATGTGTAAAATGATATGCTTACACCTGCTTTAATAGAGAAGCTACAATATATTTTAGGTTATTTTATAAATGAGTCTATGACTCGACTACCTTATAACTCGATCAGCTGAGATCAACAAGTCTTGGTTTGGAACGCTCGTTTGTCTGACTTGTTGAGTTGAGATTATCAGTCGTCTTCTAATGATCTTTTGTTCGGTAGGATTTCGGCTTGATTCTGTCGACCTAATGCTCTAGTTCGATTGTTGACTATCAACCATAGATAAGGAGTTTGAATGAGACTAGATTGTCGAGGATAGGGTGAATCACCGTAATCCAACAGATAGCTCACCTATTGACAAAGGATCCTTTGGGGTGTTTTTGAAGTATAACATGATAAACTCTCGACCTCTTTATGAAGAATCGCAAATGCTCTTATGAGATGACCGGTGAAGTTGGGCATAAGTTGAGCTGATGCATTCACTCGATTCGATATCTCTTGGTTTTTGGTCATGACGGCCTACATCCGACCGGCTTCAAGACCGGATCTAAGGGATCAACATTTGGTCAATCAAGTCTCTTGATCTTAAAGTGATGGGACTTTTGATCTTTCTTCTGTGGGTCCTCTTTGGCTATACTTTCATGACTCTTAGTCCATTGGATTTCCTCAAGACTTGTGATGACACATTATAAATATCCACATGAAAAAATGTAATTACTTTTAAGAAGTGATAATAATATTTTTCATGTGAGATTAAATAGTTGAGTGATATAAACATAAATATGTAAATTTATATAAAAGATTTGTAACTACGTAAAAATTGTATGGCATATTGGCATGCATGTAAATGCCTCTTATTATGAGAAAAGATTATGTTACAAACTGACAGCGTTGTGAATCGTATGACACCGCCAAATGCACAGTATAATGCACAGTATGGTGCGATTCATTCGGATGTAATATTTTCTCCCTTATTACTCACCATATTTAAACTTAACCTGATTTTATCTTCACATAGCTCTGATTCTCTTTCGAGGAACCAATCGAGCTCGCAGAGAATTCTTCATCACAACAGTGAATTCAGTCTTCTCAGAAAGATCAATCTCCTCCCCTTCCACGTTTCTCCACTCGAATTCCCTCACAAGATTAGCCGCAAAGAATTCCAGATGAAAGATGGCCAATCCAAGCCCAGGACAGATCCTCCTCCCTGCTCCAAAAGGCATCATTTTGATCTCTCTGTTTCCAGTTATATCCATTCTTGCAGCTGATCCTCCCTCCATAAACCTTTCTGGCTTGAATTCCATGGCTTCTTTCCAAATCTTCTCATCCAAAGCCATCTCCGCAATGCTGAAATTAATCGACGAGTTCTTGGGTATCAAATACCCTTCAAATTTGATATCTTCTGTTACAGCGTGAGGAAGAAGGAGATGGCCGGGAGGATGAAGACGCAGCCCTTCCATTATCACCGCATTTAGAAAAGGAAGCTTCTGCAGATCCTCAGAACTTCCTTCCCAGTTTTTGATCTCTTCCCATAGCTCAAGCTGGATCTGCTGATTCTTCACTAGCTCCGCCATGATCCACTGAAGAGACGTCGCCGTCGTATCGGTTCCCGCGCTCAGAAACTCTGAACAGAGCGCTACCAATTCGTCTTCGTTAAGAAACCTGCCGCCATCTTCAGGCAGCTGGATCTCCAGCAGGGAGTCCACGTATGAAAAAACTGGTTTCCCATCCCCCTCCGTAATTTCCTTCCTGCGCTCTCTGCGAGCTTTAATCAATGGGGCAAATACCTCTTTCTGCTTCCGGCGAAGCTCCATAGCAATCCCCAACTTTTTACGAAAGAAATAGCCGGCGATCGCCGGGACAAAAAGTAGAAAAGTGAGCTTACCGGCATGGAGAAGGTAATTTCTCTGGGCGATTTCGATTTCTCTGATAACCTTCTCGTCAAACTTCTCTCCGAAGCACATCAGTACTACAAGGCAGAACATGGCGTACTGGAAGCTATCCCTAGGGACGACAATCCCGTCGCCGGTTTCCGATTGGGCACGGAGGCGTTGAGAGAGGAGATCAAATGCCCAGCGGCGGCCGTCTTCAAATAGGGAAATGCGAGAAGGGTGGAGCGTCTCGGAAACAAGATTCCGGCGAAGAAGCCGCCAAATAGGACCGTAGGAGGCGGCGGATATGATGTGTTGGTTGCTTGAGAGGAAGCGAGCGGCTGGGAGAGGCGTGGGGCGACCTGAGAAAGTGGCTCCATGCTCGATAAGAGCCTTGTGGGCAAGAGAAGCATCGGTGACAAAGATTACCGGAACGGAACCGATGCGAAGGGTGACGATGGGGCCGTATCGGGCTCGAAGATCGTGGAGTAGGGAGTCTAGATGTTGGAGATTGAAAGACCGGCGGAACCAGAATAGGTTTCCGATTATAGGAGCTGCCGGCGGGCCAGGAGGGAGCTTGGAGTGACTGAAGGAGGAGAAGAGGAAGAAGACGATGACTCCTGAGAGGGAGAAGAAGAGAAAAGGCAGCAGAGGAAGCTCCATTTTTTTAGGTTCTGTATTATCGACCTGGTCGTCCTACCGTGTTTAAAATAAAATTGATAAATGTAATAAATAAAGTCTCTTATTTAATTATTTATTTACATATCTCAACTTAATGCATGAAATAACTTAAGGGTGTCCCCATAAATAACAACAAATTCTTAAAAGGTCTCACGCCTAAATTTTATTTCTTATATTTATAGTGTCCAAATCATTTATATCATATAAAAATTATTATCATTTTAATTTTTCAAAAGTTAAAATACACCTATTCATGTATCACTAAGATATGGTAGTTATGTAAAATTTTCATATATTTATTTTAATTTTGAAAATAAATAATAATGTTATTTGATAGGTCATCAATCAATTTATCATTTGACACTATCTCAATGTAACTTTTTGAATATGAAATATTCAAACTTCAATTAAAAATCATCTAGAACTCTAATTTAAGAAAAAAATGATAGTCAAACTGACTCGTTTAATGAGAAACCTAATGATATCAAAATTGGTCTATGAGAATCACATCAAGCCCAGTGCAGGCTTCATTTTTGGTGTCACGAGTGTTAGGTGTTCACCTAAAAGATTTGAGATGGTCTACGGTTTGTCTGTACATTTAGTAGCTCAAGTCACCCACCTGAGACTCTTTAGCGCTTGTTCAGGGCAATAAGGTAGGTTGGCGACGATTTAGCCGTACTCGGGAAAACCTGTCTTCAAGGAGGTTCATTCAAAACGTGGGACATATTCAATGCTTATTCTGATGTTCAGAAGT